GATCTATCTGTGAATTACACTTGCCCATCTACATCATAAAATTAAAACAACTCGTAGTTCGTCAGTGTATTAGTGTAAAACCATAGACCTTAGAAAACAGGGACATGCTACTGTGGGTATCCCTTTCATGTAACCTTAGTTATAATCCTCTACCCAATTAACACCTTAGTGAAACTGACAATAAAGCTATGTCAACACCACTGTTACATCCTCTCCTGTTATATAAGCCAAACATGGCTGCCAGGGAGTAGCTACACAAAATGAGCCAACTTTGTGGTAAGAATATAAACAGAAAAATTACATTTCATTAAAACTGAATAACCAAGTCCATTCTATTGATACAAGTGAAACTGAAAATTGCAAAGTTAACAGTTTTTATATCACTATGAAAACAGGAAAGGGAAATAAAAATGGTCAGTTTTGTCTACAAGAAAACAAAACTGCCTAAACATAAACAATGACCTGTCAACATTTGTGTCATTATAACAAGTGGATTTTTCATCATATTTAGAACAGATATAGCATAGTGCACCCGTTATACATTGACAAATGTGAATATTGGCACAGCATAACTTATCAAACATATAAAAAAGCGTAGAAAGGTAAGAACTAAAACTGTTTAAGATGTATAGGTATATGTATTAATGGGATTATCTATACAGGAGATTATAACCCACGTTGCACACATGAAACTGGATTTTCCTTTGTCTCAGACAGAAGTTGCATGTCCCTGTTTTCTAAGGTCTATGGTAAAACGTCCATATCCCCATAATCATATCTGAGAGGCGGAAAGCAATCCCAGATATGCGAAAGGCACATGTTCATGTTATTTTCAAAAAACAAGATTGCTGCCAGTCGGCACTGCATGTGCATATGTCCCACATAAAGTACTAGGCACATGCAAAGAATGAACGAAATCGGTCCAAAGGATTCTGAAATATGACTCCGGACGGACGGATGCACAGACGGACGAAGACCGAATAGCCCACTTTCGAGATAAACGGCCACTGGCGGCACCATCCTATCACGTGACCAACAATTTTCGAACAGGGACTAATAATAAGTTCTACTATAATTGGAATTATTCAATTTATTAAAGAAGTATCAGACTTTATTAAGGACCATTGGTCCATTCCAGTTTATATCTGCACCCCCACTGTTGATGAGTTTGTGAGTTTACTTCATACAGGGTATAATTTCCATGGGTGTATAAGTCATACAAAGTTTTATTTCCAAATCACCATTCACCATACAGTAATGGAAATCCAAAACTATAGGTTCTACTTATGGTGTTGATGAGTTCCTTTGTGACACCATACAAAGTAGGATTTCCAAATATAACTCTCATCATATGCTAATTTACCAAGTTCAAAATTTTATATCTGATAATGGAAATCCAAACTAGTCCTGATTCACTGTGTTGATGAGCTCATTCGTCCCACCATCATTATCTAATTTCAGTAATAACTATTTCATACTGGCCCAATACAGTCGAATTCCAAGTTTTTTCAGTCATACAGTGTTGGAAATCAACCGGTATGTGGTGAGATAAAAGGCCATATTTAATTTAGTCAGCCCCGTTTAGTAGCCATAACTGCCTGGATTTCCAGAATTTTTTTTTCTATACTCGTCTGGATTTCCAGATTCTGTTTCTCCATATACAGTTGGAATTTCGGGATATTTTCCTCATCATACAGTGCTGGAAATCCGACCTCATCAACAGGGGGGTGCAGATATAAACTGGAATGGCCCATTTCCGGTTTCAACTAGTTCGAAAATAGAACATCCTTTAACCACAGTCTCTCTATGATAGAGGGACTGTGCTTTAACGCGATAAAATCGCGCGTAGAACTCCTTCCGAACCAGACACTAGCAGCGTAAACTTATTGCAAATTTGGGCCCAGTTTGTTCTTACAAGTTTTCTAAGTTTCATTTATCATTATTTAGTAAACAGGTCTCTGGAACGGGTCCCACTAAACACAGCCCGTTGTCGTTGTCGCACCCCCCTGGGCCTGTAAGTGGCGAGAGTGGTTGGGAACTTGCACAGTGTAGAGCAAATGTACGATGAGCCGCATTTGAT